AAAAAAAAAAAAAAAAAAAAAAACAAAAAACAAGGATTCCTTTTTCTTCTGAAGATCTTTTTAGCTGCACAGGAGAGAATCCGAGAAAAAGTTGAGAGATATTTTGGAATTGAAAAAAACTTGACGTAATTGTGTGCATAATATGAGTGAGACATCCCATCAAATTTGCAAAACGCACTCATATAATTGCAACACCGATGATGATAGAAGAAGAGAAAGGAAATTGAAGTTGATTTTTATGTGTGTGTTTGTCTGTGTGTACGTACGATTTGGGACAGGCTGTGGGAAATTCGCATTAAGAGCATTATCTCAGTGCTTGGCCAGAGAGCTCCAGCCCCTGGGAATACACGTCGCTCATATCATCATTGATGGTATCATTGGCCTACCAAGGTTTCTTCTTTCAACTCCCCCTTTTCTTCGAATCCAATACTCCCTTCTTTCCCCAACATGATTCCTCTTATTTTCTCACCATTCAAACACGACTCCCAGATTCTCTGAAAGAATTAACACCCAAATTGGAATTGATGTGAAGATGATAATTCTGAGTTTTTGCAGGGCAAGTCCAACATCCAACAGAGGAGGGTCATCCTCCTCATCATCTACGTCGTCCTCCTCATCCATTGGATCGCATTTACAGAGTGGAATTGGTGATGGAACAATGGACCCAGATGCGCTGGCTCAGACTTATTGGCACTTACATGTTCAGGACCGGACTGCATGGACCCAAGAAATTGATCTCCGACCTTCAAACCCCAGATTGTTCTAACTCCATCCTTTTTCTTTTCTTTTCTTTTAGAGAGAAAAAGAACAGCATCATCATTAGAAGAAAAGAAGTCGTATTCTGTTCTGTTGTGTTCTGTTGTGTTCTGTTCTGTTGTGTGCTTGAGCTTGTCCCACATATTTTAATATTCTGTCACAAAACAAAACGCGAAAGGGCTCACACCCAATCATTTTGATTCACAGACGTGTCTTTCTGAATCCCCCACCTGCCGGTCAAAATCCAAGCTTTATACTCTCTCTCTCGAAGATACCCTCTCCATTGATTCTTTGTTGAAATGGATTATGTATGGATTATGATTCTGGTTTCCAATAAGCTTGATAGTTTAGGAAGTGAGTGGTGGTTTGATGAGTAGTTTGGTTGTTGTTTGTGTATGTAATGTTGGAGATTTGATTGATTCTTGTTATGATTGAATGGGTTTTGATGATAATTATGGTTGTGATGTGATGTGATGGTGATTAGATGTAGCTGTCCTCCATGGGAGCTGAGGTTTGGGCCTAGTGGTAGAATGCAACAGGGTGGGTGGGGTTGTATGGGATCCATTCGTGTTCTCAAATGGGATAACTCCTTTTCCTTCAATTTTCTTTTTCCCTCTATCTCTCTTTCGCTCTCTATATTTAATGCTCTGTTTTTTGTTCTGTTTTGTTTTTAACAAAGAAATCTTTGAATTGAAGGTGTTTTGTATTTTCCCTGGATTTCGTAAGTTATTGAAGATACCACATTCACCCATGGGTTGGAGTTTACTGTTTTTGTGCTTTCTGGGGTACGTATCACTTCTTACACACCTTAAACAATATTATTTGAATACTCAACTACAATTATTATTTTCATTTAATTTATTTTGGACTAGAGGAGGGTTGAAGTGTAATAACTCAAGCTCCGCCACTAGATATTATCTCCTTTTTAACATCATCGATATTATCTCCTTTTTAACATCATCTCCTTTAACTTATTAGGCTGCGCTCCTTTTAACATCATCTCCTTTAACTTATTAGGCTCGCACTCTCACAATTTTGCTCCTTTTAACATCATCTCCTTTAACTTATTAGGCTCAGGCTCGCACTCTCACAATTTTAAGTCACTTTTAAAAACACGTTTATTGTGGAAAAGTTTTAATATCTTTATAATATAATAGCTAGCTCTAATACCATTTATAACATTACGTATGTCTAGCTATTTTGACCCGTTGCATAGCTCTGATACCATTTATAATAGCCCAAGGCCACTTCTTATATGGTATGTTTTGATCCGTTACATAGCTCTGATACCATTTATAATAGCTCAAGGTCACTGTTATAAGATATGATATGTTTTGACCCGTTACATGTCGTTCTTCAGAGTCCAGATCTCACATGGAGATTGAACTTAAAATTAGTCCATCAAAATTACTTTTATAAAATTTGAGTGTAATAAAATGAGATTAACTTTTTTTTTTTTTTTTTCCTTTTTCTTTGTATATATACTAATAAGAATAAATATATATATATATATGAAAGGGAGGTGGGAAAAGAAGTTTGATTAAGAATTAGATGTCCGATCCTTTTCAGTGTTCAATAAAAGGAGGAAGCTAAAAACCGACATTTAAACAAAACCAACAACATCCGACATTTGGTCAGAAATTCTGTAATATATAATATATAATCTTCTAATCACTCACCTGAAACTGAACATATTTTACAACACCTGTACAACAAAATCCTATAATCGCCTACCCTAACCACCTTCATCTCCCTTATCATATGGACGTGTGTGTTTTAGTTGATCAGAGATTTGCAGTCATTGCTGCTTGAAGATGCTCCAGCAATCCCGCCGATTGACTGACGACAACGGTAGCAGCTCCTATGAAAGATTATGGAATTTGGGACACCAAATCAAATCTTTTAGCCACCCACCTCTCATTCCTTCGGCAGCAGAGGGCAATAAGTAGTTTTGAGATTTCTATTTCAACACATCCTATTACTATTGACGTCTACCCGTCCGGCTGGATGGCCCATGTAAGAGTTTCACAAACCCAAGGAAGCTCAGCTTCCCATCGCTGTGTCTGATCCAATCTTCAAGAACAGAATGAACAGGGACCGAAGGGCTCAGACCAAGTTCCTGAGAAGAGTCAACAGCATCAAATGATGATGGTTAAAAGGTTCATCTTTTTATCAATAGGATACGACTCTGAGTTCGAATTACAACGCATACTTAACACGTGATTGATTGAACGTACCGAAGCTAGTTCCTCGATCATGATCGCCCTGTTTCCATCCTTCTCAAAATGTTCGTAGGCACTGTGAGCAAGTTGTTCCCAGTGACTAAGGTCCTCCAGTTGACGGACACTAAGTGTAGCTGCACAGAACTCCTCAAAGTCCATCCTTCTGAATTGCAAGGCGTTGAGCTGCCAGGAAATAGAGGTAATCAATATGATTGAGATTTTATGAAGCTAAGACGATATTATCACGCCACGAACACGTCAAGTAGCTCACCGATGTCAAAAAGTCAATAATTCGCGATTCTTTCAGTGCCTCTGTTCCGTTTTTCATCAGAGTCTGGCAGTGAAACAATGGGATCTTAGAAATAATAACAATGGCAGATAAAGGAAAGAGGTGAGAGATGATCCAAACCTCTTTTATGTTTTCCAAGCTTATGGTGCCATTTTTATTTGGTTCCAGGAGTGCGAACTGAATTTTAAAATAGCTGAGTTCATCTTCAGACAATGTCTTTGACAATGCCTGCAGAAAATCAATGGAAAGGAACTATAAGAAACAGAAAGAAATTCATAACTTCTCCATGGGAGGTTTTAACATTTAATCTTGTTTCGCATCATGCCCGTTTTCGACCTCAAGAAACTCTCATAATTGAATGGCACAGTACTCACCTTTAGAGCAGCTTTTCTTAGAGAAGATGAACACATATAAGCTCTCATAAGCTTAAGCAAACGTACATCAAGAGGAATTTTTACTTCTTTACAATCCTTAAACCAAGGATGACCTGCATGTACATACACGAGTTGATAAGTAGTAGGAATCAAAAGGAAAAAAGAACTTCAAAGCTCAAAACTACTCACTTAGAGCTTGAGCAGCACTCATTCTTTTCTCTGGGTCTTTATTTAAAAGGCGCTTAACGACATCTTTAGATTCAGGAGACAAAGATGGCCATGGTGGATCGTCGAAATTTGGATCAACCTTCAAAACTGACTTGAAAATGCCAGACTCGGTCCTTGCCCAGAATGGACGGCTGCCACACAGCAGAATATATGCAATCACACCAATACTCCAGATGTCGGCCTCCGTGCCATAAGATCTACGTAGAACTTCAGGAGCTACATAATAAGCACTGCCAACAATGTCGTTCAGCCTCTCATCTGCAAATGAATCACAACATCACAATCATACAAAAATTCAAGAACCGTTAAAGGAAATTTCGACTATTTGGGGAAAGCAAACGAACAAACCTGGTTTTACAAAATCTGATAAGCCAAAATCTATAGCCTTCAATTGTGAACTTTCATCCTTTGACGCATATAAAAAGTTCTGAACCAGCAAGCAGCTATATTAGGTAACAACTCCAGACAGATTCAAGGCAAAATAGGTATTTGTTTACCTCAGGCTTAAGATCCCGGTGCACCACCCCTTGGAGGTGGCAAAATGCAGCTACATTGAGGATTTGTATCAATACTGATCTTGCATCATCCTCCGAAAATTTCCCGCCTCTGCGCGATAATTGGAAATAAAAACATCGTCAACCAGTCAACTTCAAGTCCAATAAAATGCCCAAAATCCATAAGGCATAACGACTCCTCGATTGATACCTGGAGAGTATTCTATCCAAGAGCTCTCCTCCTTCACACAATCTGAAAATTTCATACAAAATGACAGTCCCTCAATATAAACTTCGTCAAACAATAACAGTTCCAGAAATGCATGTTTTTAATATAAACGAAGAGTTTAGAGCTTACTCCATTACTATATAGACATTGTCATGATCTTCACATGCATCATGGAAATGTACTAAATTTTTGTGTCCACTCAAAGCTTTCAATATCTTCACTTCCCTTCTGACATCCTCAATGGCAATGGCAGTGGTCATCTGACAACAGTTCATGACACAGGATGAGTTAATCAGAAACAAGCAAGTCCAATTCAAAAGGATGCTACCCACTTTCACTGATATACAAGATCAAAATGTTGTATTATATTCTACCTCAAATTAAGATATTAATTGGACATTAACATACTAAATAAGGGGATCAAATGCATCCCAAAGTCCATGGTTTGCCAGCCAAACCAGACTCACAAGACTGAAACAATTGATCTATGAAGTCGACTCTTAAAATACCCAAGCTTTCTATATCATTTGGATCTCTGTGAAAGGATGTTTCTGGTTGTTAGCTATGGCGGTAAGGAGGACATCACAATAATTTTTCCAGATCTCATCAACATAGCCTCAACAATATCAAGATCAATCAATGATTCATCCTTCTTCCAATAATCATAAATTCATAAAAAGGGTAATATAGCTATGCAAAGTAGAAGTAAAATTCAATACAAACAGGGGAGAGAGAGCACACCTTGGCTTTAGAGATGACCTTCACAGCGACTTGGTGCCCCTTAAGTTCCCCTTTCTTGACCGTCGCTCTGCATGTGTGCCCAAAATGCCCCTTCCCCACCTCTTCTCCGAGCTCATACTTGTTCCTAAAATGCTTAGAGAATCCAAAGCTCTTGTCAAGACCAGGCCCATCAATCTCCTTCCCCTCTGGAATGGATGCCTCATTCGGCTTCACTGAGCCGTGCCGTCTAGCCAATACAGCCATTAGATGTTTTGCAGGGGACGGCGGCGGAAATGGCTTCCTGAAGAACCGCTTGGGCGTCGAATTGGAGCTCACATTCGCCGGAGATCTCGACGGAGACTTGTTCGAGAAGAGATAGTGAGCGGGACTCGGACTGAAAAGGGGGAAGTAGGGCGACTTCCTGGGAGTTTCCAAGTCGAAATCAATTTTATCTCCCTCCCTCTCATTGCTAGGATTTTCGCCATCGACTGTGGCCGGAGGTGGCTGCAACGGCAGCGGACCTTGAACCCCTAGAACTGAACCCCCCTTCGCCGGAACGGCGACGATTTTCATCGACGACGGTTTGGATACACAGATACCCATGATTTACAGCCTAAAACTCCGTAAATCAAACACTGGAATTCGAAGACAGAACGTCAGGTAATATAATGCACATTAAAAACAAAATTCGCAACTATAATCTTGACTTCCTGGAGAGATAAGAATCTAAAAATGGAAATGGAGCTCTTAGTTGTATGATATGGTGCCAGAGAGATGGGAGATCCAAATGAGAAAGGCCAAACGACGATGCCCTCCACTTTTAGATTTGAACCCCAATTGAATTAAAGGAACAAACCCACCAAGAAAAAAATAAAATTTAATTAAAGGAAGCTCGGATGAAACATCCAATAACGTGACACTCAATCAATCCATCCATCACCAGCTTAAACTTTCTGGTTTTAAAGGGCAAAGCGGTATTGTATTTTGGTGGCCAAGGAAACGAGTGGTCAAAAAACATACACCATTTTAAAATTTGGGACACTTGGCGAACATCTGGATGGAGATTAATTAAACATATTATAGGGTTTAATATTTGGAAAGTTCGTTAATTTACCACTTTGTGTATATTCTTAATATTTGTAATTTTTAATAAATAGTTTCCAGAAAAGGCAGCCGCTGCTCTCCTTCCCTCCAATACAGCACCCACTTCCTTCATTTGATTACATTTTAAATTTGTTTTGAAATTATTGAGACTAAATTTATCATTTTATTTTTAAATTTTGAGTTTGACTTTGACTTTTTTAGCATTTTAGTTTGAAATAATTAAGAATTAGAAAGGATTGGAATAATTGGTTTTTTTTTTTGTTTTTTTTTAGTTTGACAGAGCAAAAGAAATGCCAATTCGTAACAAATACTTGGAATAGGGGAAGTTGGGAAAGACCGAGTAATGGGGTTGACCAAAGCGTTCTCGGGTCCAGCTCATATTTAAAAATAAAAAAGAAAATTGGTGGGAAAAATTGAATTATGGGATTAAATAAAATTGATAAAATAATAAATAAATAATATTAGAAAAGTCAACCCAACCGACCAAAAGAATAAAAAAAGTTCGATCGGCAATGAGCAAATCTAATTCGGTCATGTGGGCCGTCATCATTCTTTCTCATCAACTTCAATTTTATTTATTATTAATATATATATATATATATATATCAATTTTATTTGCTGGCCATATTTCGTAGGACTAGCGGTAATTTAAATTGTATTTGCGTCCACTTTTTCAGTTTATTTTTTAAAAAAATATTTATTTTTTTCTTTGATTTTTTTATAAAAAAAAACAACTATTTTAGTCTCACAAATTTTAAAAAAATAATTATTTTATTTTTACATTTAAAAAAATATAGACAGATTATGTAACCTAGCAAATAAATTAAACATAACTAGCGACAAATAATTATAGAGTAAATAATATACTAATTTTGTATGTATTAAAAAGTACAAAAGAAAATTGTAAATAAATTGAAAGTGATGATTAGAAGCTTAATTTGGTTGTAAACGATCATATTGATAACAACAATAACGTCATCCAACATATAAAACTTGAAATTAAAAAAAAAAAAAAAAAAAAGATTTGTAGTTGAGTCATATTAGAAAGTAGTGTTTTTGAAGTCAATCATTTGCTGTAATATAACAGCACTCATAAATTGGGTGAAAAAAGAGAGAATAATGGGATTAAATGAAGAATCAATGTTCCTATTTTTTAAAAATAAAAATAAACAGAGTATGTTAAATACAACTTAATCAAGTAGTGATTTCCAAAACTTAATCCTAAATAATTCATAAGATAAGAAATTATTAATCAATTTAACTTCCATTTTCATTACAAACTTATTTTTTTAATAATTTAACTAATGTTTCATATCATGCATGAAGATATATTTTCTACCTCCCCAAGATTTATACTAAATAAATTTTTAGAAAATATTGTAAGTCTTGCTTCAAAAGTGTATATATATATATATTTATTTATTTTTAAAAATGTTTAAAAAACCATTGAATATGTTAAATTTTGTTTTAGTAATATTTTTTGTACCTTTAAAAAACTTGACTTTTAGAAAATATTCAATAATATATTTACCGTTAAGGTTTATATGAAAAATATTAAAGTTTTGTCAATAATACTTTTGAAAAGTCAATTAATTAAACAACTCAAACTTGACATACAAGTAATCTTTAAGTTGGAAAGGCAATGGTAAAAACCGTCTCTTATACGGAGAATCATTTTAAATTTAATAAAAAAAAAAATTAACACCTTTGAATGGTCGAGAGAAATTATTGAAAATTTTAAAATTTAATAAAAAAACAAAACTACTGTTTTTTTTTTTTTTTTTTGTGTGTTTTTTAAATATATATTTAAAAAAAAAATTAGAGTTAGAGATGTTTTTTCCTATAATTTCTGTAATTTACGATTTTACAAATTGCATTTTGAAAGACATGGAATTATAGTATGATGAAGAAAATGGTTTGGTAATAATAAAATGAAGGTTGAGGAATCAATTTTGTTGAAGAGGGAATTGTTGGAGGATAATGACATACGCTCTTACGAGTGCATCAACCAAACAATGAAGCATATGATGACACGATGAGCGGCTGATGGATTTAAAGCGATGGTTTACCTCTTCCTCAACATCTGATTTTTATATCTCATCTGCTTCTCAATCTCATTTTCTACGCAAATGACGATTTCTTTTTAAAAAATTAATCGCCATCGACAAAGCCAAAATTAGGAGAAGCCTGGCCGGCAACCACCATTTGGCCCAGAAGAAGCCAACTTTTTGAGCCGCATACAGGCCAAATTCTGCAGTGATAGTTGATGAGAAAGCATGCATATTAGCTTATCCTAATATCTCCCCATTTGGGTCTGTAAGGATCCCAGTTTTGGGCAGCTTCGAAGTCTCTGTAGAACAGATATGATTACCACTGAAGGAGCAGTTGTGTTGTTCTTCATGGCAGCTTGGTCTGACTGTCGAACCTGCTGATTGTGTAGGCGTCCAAGGGGGCCACTTAGTTGTTGGACTCATCTTCATTTGGACGGCTGCTCTGCAAGTTCCATCGCAGCTTCACGTCCGCCAAAATTTCTTAGGACTTGGGAATTCAATTTGTGTTCTTCGCTACTAATTTCTTAGGATTAGTCTGTGTTAATATTAGTCTGTATTTTGGTTCTTTGCGCTTTTAATTATCTTATTTTCATCTCGAATGCTTACTTCATTAGCAAGAATCATAAATTTGTATCTGCACTTGTACTAAAAACACAAGAATCAGAAATCATGTTGCTGAATGGATCAGACAAAACAAAAGAATTGTCTATTGGAATCAAACAAACGAAATTTGCAAGCAATTGCTGTTGGACCATATGATTCCATTATCAAATCTCTCTAGTATTATACAAATTCAGATTGAAGTTGTATAAGGAAGTGGTGATTTGGAATGATCGGAGGATGTCGCCATTACAGAAGCTCTAAAATGGAAAAAACAGCATACAAAATTGTTTCTCAACTTCCACTTCAGGGAAGACTTCCACACCAGAAGCTTTTACATTTCAAAAGAACATATCAGAAGGAGAAAAGAAAACCTACATGAGTAGACAACAATCTATTCCAGAAACTCACCTACTAGGCGCACCATCTGAATCTGGCTTCTCGTCCTCAAGCTGATTTTTCACCGATACTTCAGCCACCCCTGCCAACTGCTGGTCGATTGAAGGTACAAGCAAAGCCAGAGGCATGCCTGGCGCAGATACTTTCCTTCGCTATAATACTGCATGGCTCATCTTTTATTGGTTTGATTTACATAGCCGAGCGCATTTGCAGGGGAATGCATACTTTGGACTGAGCGTGGAGGAGACAGTAGTGGAAGAGCCTCAAGGGTAGAACGGGGGGAATAACGAGACATTGCTGTTAAGTCAGAGATTTCATAATGAGATAGTGGGCCAACCACAACCACACTGGGAAAGAAGAAAACAATGACGTATGAAACTAGGTCATGCAGAGCATTATAATGAATGCATTAACATTCATGGACTGGAGAGCATGGGGAAAAGCAACTCTTGCCTCTCGGAAGCTAATTTTCCCTTGGGATTTTGCGAGCTTGGAAGCATGGAAAGCTGATCAAATTTTCTTGAAAACTGTTCACTTGGGCTATAGCATTTATCCTGGTATCATGAACCACACTGTTACGAAAAATTCTAAGTTAAGCAGGGGGCGAGGGAGGGGGGATTGCATCTGTGTTATGTTTACCGTCAAATTTGATCCAGCTACAGGCAGCGAGAAAGATGGAGCTTCTGGATTCTGCAAGTTTTTCATAAACGGATGTTCAAGCAGCATGGCAGCAGTCGGCCTCTCTGCCGGATTTCTCTGAAAGCAGCATTTTAAGAACTCTCTCGCTTCGTATGATAATGATTCAGGTATTGGTGGGGCATCTCTCATGACCTTAAACATTGCTGCAGCCTGTATTAACAAATGAATTTGTGACCACCAACCAGTCTACCGAACTCATAAAAAATAACTACCAATGATCAGTTGAATATGCAATTCACCAATTGGCATGTGTGGAAAAAAAATGAAAATTCTATCTTGGTTGATGCAGCTACAAGCACATGCCAAGTTATCCAACACTTACCCCTTCATACTCGCTCCAAGGTGGCTTGCCAGTGAACATTTCTATAATAGTGCACCCAAGGCTCCAAATATCAACAGCCAGGGCAAGATCAGAGTTGTTATCTTTCTGCATCACAGACAGAAGAAGCTGCAGGAAAAAAGACAAATTTCAATCACTTCCATCATTGCTAAATAGCCAATCCAAGTAAATTATTACATCAGTGATTGCGGTCATTAAGAGAAACAATAAGCCAATAACATGTCTAATGTGGGAACAAGAAGATACCTCAGGAGCCATCCAGTATGGACTTCCCTTTAAAGAGAGATCAGCAACTTGTCCTGTAAGCTGTACAGATGTATATCAGCATCATTCATGTCTAATCCTACAAAAACAAACAATTCTCTCTCCAAGGGCAATTCAAATTAACACCATCTGAAGTCATTAATCCTAACAATCATGCAGCAACCAACTTGTAAGAATCATTCAAACAAAGATGACTTTTCTCCGAACTTTAGACTGCTCGACATGATACTAAAGTTGAGACTGCCCAGACACTAACATTAAACAAGCTGAAACAAATTGAAAAGTATATAGGTTGTGAGCACTAATTAGACCATGTTTGCAGCAATTGACTCGAGCAAACAAATATTATTCTTTTCCTCGACTGTTGTCAACATCAAGAATAAAGACACAAATGGGTGAAAAAAAAAAGTTTGCCTATCGAAAGTAAAATATAAACCCAAACTACAGAGATCAATGCCATTCATTTATTGAAATTGGCAAAAATACA